TTTTGAAATCCAAACATTACAATCCAATTTAACCAACTACTTTATTCACTAGTCTTGACTTTTGGCAGGCTTTAAAAAATCAAATCCTCTGTCAAAGGATGAAGATTTGCCACTATTGAGGATAGTCAAAGAAATTAGCTTCAGGCTCTGAAAGCAATTTCAGGAGGAGTTCTAAAACTGTTTTAAGAAATGGCAGTACTGCTGGAATAAATGTATATCCTGTCAGGGCAGCTACTTTGAAAGGTATATAGTAATTTGAATCTGCAATTTCTGCATTGTTTCTTGAAGAGTAGAAACACATTCTGTAACAATTGTGCAGAAAATGATGGCCATCCATTCCACAACAACTATAACAACAAAAGTTTAAATAAAAGGTTTCAAACAGTGCTTTAATCTTTGCTCAGCCATCTGCACCTGTAATCTTGAATGTGACCTCTTTGCATTTTGTAGTTATTGACAATTTGGGTCTATGACACTCTTACCAGGAATTGTCATTTACTATTGAATTATTTAATATTTTCCTTCAATATCATATCTGATAGCAAAACTAGATTTACAGTTATATAAACTATCTTCCCTTAGTCCTTTTCATCATTCCATATATTTCATACTTTCTTTCTGTGTGTGCATCTTGACTGATATTTAAAATGTTACTATTAGAGTTTTATGACATAGATTCTGAATTGCAAATAAGTTTTAAGTGGCTTACTTTGTTCAGTTATTTGTGGCAATCTGGAACACCAATATTGAGGAAGATTCTGTGGCTTGATCTGGTATTAGTGGGAAATAAGCCCATGTTTTGTTACGTCTGCCATCATCACAGAGGAAGGGTAACCACATATATATTTGATGATCCTTCTTAGGATAACTGCCTTGGCCTTTATTGCAATAAAAATATCTCTAGAGTGGATAATGTTTACTAGATTGTCATCCAATTATACCTTAGAGGTAATAGAAGTCTTCCATGATGTAGAAGGGGAGAGTATATTCAGCTGGTCTGTATTGGAAATGGGGGATTTCATCACGAGGGAAAATGAAACAGAAGTGTTGCAAAGATGGCCTAAGGATCCATACCTCACAGTTTTATCTTGGTTCAGCCCTAATTATTTTTAAGTGTTTCTTCAATTTGGTATAATTATCTCCTCTCACCATTTAGGAACACTGCAGAAACCTGAAATATTCATATTATTACTATGGTTCTCAGGTCACTGATTTAATCTCAGCATATTGTGTTAAGAATTGATTTTTTCCAAGCTATGATTTGCCTGGAGGAAGGGCATAATTTATTGTGGTCTTAGCTAGCACATGTCAGAAACTCTTGGGGGAAGTATTTTGTTGTGTTCCTGGATAGTGAATACAGGAAGTAATACTGTAGTCCTCTGTCCCACTCACATCTATGGTCAGTGTCTAGTATTGAATGCACAGTCAATGCCCTGTGTTTGGTTTCCACTGTCCTTTCACCTATGCCTGGGTTCCAGAGATTATGGATTTGATAAATCAAAACTCCTTTCTCTGTCTACAGTAATAACTGAGTGCAAGACAGTAAGCAATCAGAAAAGTTGAGGACAGCTAACAGGGATAAACTTGGATTCTAAGAACCTGAATCAGTCCATGGTACTCTAGGTTTATGCTAGTATTTATTACCTGTATAGCTTCTTATTTCCTATGTTCTCCTTTTCTTTCTCCTCTCAGTGGTCTGTGTCTCTAGCTAAACCTCCTATTGATGCACCTTTCTTTCTCTTATTTTTCTACCTCGCTTTTCTGTAGTCATTCAGAACTAAATAGAGTGTGGACCTCTGAACCAATCTATAGCATATTCTGTGACCTGAATCCCATTTTCTCTGCTACCAATAAATTGCAATTCATTCCTCACAGCTTCCTGACATAACCTCTGACTGGTTCATACTAAATCTTTACTATATCCCAGAAATGTAACCTGGTCTAGACTCTAGCTCACTTTTATGGTAACTCAGTATGCCTCTCTAGGAGGAGAGTTATCCTAGTTTTTTTTTTTTCTTCTTCTTAACGTTTGAGATGGTATTTCAAACTTTGGGAGGAAATATTAACGTGGACAAAGACTTTTAAAAATACCTTCATTCTAATGTCATTCTAGCTTGAAGAAACATGACACTTTTTAATAGAATGACTGAACTTTACTTTCTTCCCCATTCAATTAAGAAAAAAATAGAAAATTAACAATGTAGACATATTTTCTGAAATCAAGGCTTTGCTTTGGTGTATTGGGAACTTTTCTGAACCCTTTCTATGAGAAGTAATTGGATGTGAGTATAAGATGAATTACAATTCAAATCAGTCATTGGAAGCATACCAATTGGCTTATCTAAAAGTGTAATTCACTGCTGGTAAATTCTCAAAAATTCTTAACAATTCACCACTTTGGCAAATCTCAGTTTGCCAAAGTGAAGTAGAAAAAAAGTAATTACAACCTTTTATTTCTGATTATGTAATATAAGTGTATAGTTGAGTATCAGTGACATAATTCACTTATGCTTAACAGATGAGTGATCCAACACTACTAAACACTGCTTTGCATCGTGACTACCACCTGCCACTGTCAATGAGAAACACCACAGACTATCACCATCTTTCATGGAATCCTTACCAAATACAGAGTTTACTCTTAGTTGTATGTAATGATCTTGTTTCTAGTGTCTGTTATGGATCTTAGATAGAAGATAGGCTGTGAATTATTTCAGTGGAAAATGGAAGAGAAAGATACATTGTGAACAGTTTATTCCTATAACATTGAAAGATAATCTTCATCTCCTAATTATAGGAGTGATGCTTGCTATTGAGTGGCAAATTGGTAGCCATGCATGTACACCCTCCCAGCAAGAGCAGAGCCCTGAGTTTACCTACGGGCTACCTTAGCTCCATTGGAAATGCTCTGCTCCCTTGTTCAACAGCTATTTTGCGTTTGCCTAGTCTCAATTAACACACATTTAAAAGTAGTTGTATGGTCAGGAAAAGCTTTCAAAAAACTTCCAAAGTGGCATTTATATCTGTCTCAAAATAGAACATCAGTGACCAAAAGGATGCTTTAAAGGAAATGAAAGAAATAACTCTGAAAAAAAGAGAGTAAGGGGGCTAGAAAGCAAGGTATCTTTGAACAAGTTGGTCTGTTGCTAAATGGTCACATCTCTTCCCATTATTATGAAGAATTAAAGCTACTGGAAGAAAGAACCAAAGAAAAAAACATAAAAGGTGCAGCTTCAGGGCAAATGTCAGCAAAAAGAGGGAGAGCCTGCAGGGAGAATCAAAAATAGCATGGAAGAGATAGACTGTAGGAAATAATAAATAAAAACACCTTGAGTCACAGAATTAAAAGCATTAAGGCAATAAGTAGCAAAAAAAATTTTTTTAAGGAAGAAAAACTGAAATGTAGGGCAAACTTACATGGATTTGTGGTCTAGTAAAAAATGGTTCCATCTAGATTCAAGTTGCAGAAGGCATATTCTGTATTACCACAACAGGAATATGGATAGGGATAGAAACTCCTAAAGATGGTAGATGGGCAGCTCAAATACTAGAATGAATAAGGATATTTATTGAGAGAAGTAGAAGAAAAAAAAACTTACATGGAAGACAGAAGAAAAGTCTCACCCAAGACCCTTGCAAAAAATCTCCAGCAGAAGCTAAGAACCTGTTCACTGACATTTAACACAAATTTTCCTTAAGAGGACAGATTGAATTAACAGATATTCAACCCAAAGAATCTCTTTTATCAAATATCTGCTGAATATTGGCCATAAGAGAGTCTGAGTAACATCTATAACTCCTCTTCTTCTTTTTTTCTTTTCTTTTGAGTTGGAGTTTCTCTCTTGTTGCCCAGGCTGGAGTGCAATGGCACAATCTCAGCTCATTGCAACCTATGCCTCCTGGGTTCAAGTAATTCCCTCGTCTCAGCCTCCCAAGTAGCTGGGATTACAGGCACATGCCACCACACCTGACTAAATTTTGTATGTGTAGTAGAGACAGAGCTCATCATATTGGTCAGGCTAGTCTTGAATTCCTGACCTCAGGTGATCCACCTGCCTTGGCCCCCCAAAGTGCTAGGAATTACAATCGTGAGCCACCATGCTCGGCCTGTAACTTGTCTTAGAGTGCCTTTGTTAGGGAGTCTCTTCTATTATGCTGTTAATCTGTATGTCTGATAGATGAGACAGAACCTTTCTATTCTCAAATAAGGCAGGAGGAAGTTATAATTAGATTTTACCAAACTCACATTTTCTACCTTGAGGAAACTTCTTTTTAAAAGCCAAAATCCCCTGTGCTGGAGTGATTTTAGGTTACCTTGTGTTGGGGATTGGATGGAGCTTCTGAGTAGAGGCAGATTTATCCTGAAGCTAATAATGAGAGAGCTTTACACCTCGCTTGTATGACCTCAAAACAGAAGTTAATACTTTGGGTATGATAGGTTTTTTGCTCGTATTTCAATGTTCTTTTGATGTTAGAATAATCTCTGTTAATTTTATCATTCTTCGTCCTTTTTGCTTCATACTCCATTACTCCATTAGTTTTTGTCTAAACTCCTTAATTCTTTAATAAATTTATTTCCATTAGTAAAAATAAATTTATCTCTATTAAGATAAGAGATAAATTTATCTCTTAATTTTATCATTTTTCATCCTTTTTGCTTTATACTCCATTATTTTTTATCTGAACTTTCTTTTTTTTTTAATTTATTAAAATACTGAGTTTTATTTCACATGTATATTTTTGTCTCCCCACCATGTCCACGTCTGACCACCACTACTATGTCCCATAATAACATTCCATACATACTTAAAACCAAGCAAAGGGTGGAGTTCCATCTTTAAAAACTACAGGCATTTTGGACAACACATTCTTGGCAATGGTATCTGGACAACATTTATCAAACACGGTAGGGAAAATTCTCACTCTGCATTATAAAAAGGGCAGTCAGTTGTCAACTTACAGAAATGAAATAAGACAGAAAATTTTTAACAAATTGTTTAAACTATTTTCTTAAAGAGACTTCCTCCACTGCCAGAGATCTTGAATAGCCTCCTGGTCAGTCATCCGGAAGCAATTCTTCACATAATTGATGAACTTGGCTTCCACTTTGGGAAGAGAACCACTTTTTTCTATACTTGCTTGCATTTTTGCTTTAATGTCTTCTACAGAACTAGGTCCTTTTGGTGTTTTAGGAGTTTTTTCCAGTTTCTTGAAAGATCCTTGTCCCTTTGATCTTGGTGTTGATGATGGTTTTGAGTCTTTTCCATTCTGATTTGACTTTTGTGCATTTTTGGCTGGAGTATGCATATAGATTTCTTCACTGGCACTTTTTCTTCAGTTTCCTCATCATCGAAATCATCATCATTATCATCTTCATCATCAGCAGCAGCAGCAGCAGCAAGTTTTACTTTTTTCTGTAGAACCTTGCTACCACCTCCAGGGGCAGACCGCTTTCCAGACATACTTAAGAGTTTCACATCCTCCTCCTCCTCATCTTCTGACTCTGAATCTTCCTCCACAGCTACTAAGTGCTGTCCACTGATATGCACTGGCCCTGAACCACACTTCAATCGTAAGACCACTGGTCGTGTTATTTCAAAGCCCCCAAGGGAAACCGTTGGCTGTACAGACATTTTCAAAGTTGCCAGTGTTACTTTAATTGGACTGCCTTCGTAATTCATTGCCTCTGCTTCAACAATGTGCAACTCATCCTTTGCACCAGCTCCTAAACTGACTGTTCTTAAAGATAACTGGTGCTCATTTTCATCATTATCGACCTTAAAGTGATAACATTTGTCAGCCTTTAGTTCACAACCGAAAAGATAGTTCTGGGGCCTCAGGGGGCTCATGTCCATGTCCATCAAATCTTCCATTGGGTGGTGACACGCATTTAGGTGGAAGAGAAGGCAGATGGAGATAAACGACCACTGCTCAAAAGAACAGCCGCCCTGGACGGACTCACACCAGGCTATCTGAACTTTCTTACTTCTTTAATAAATAAATGTATGTAAGACAAAGGTACCATTTATACAGTCTAAGTCAGTGTGTATACTGTCTCATTTTTTTCACCGAAACATTTAAGAAATGGTTACAGAATTGATCTCTGAATATCCACAACAGGCCATTTCTTTCTGTCTTATAACAGGTTCTATGTGTGGACTTTATTGAGTTCTAAAGAATTCAGTCAATACCTCTGAGAATCCAGCTACAAATAACTCCCTCGCACATATTTTCTGGTTTCACCACCTGAAATGTATATTAGTGAGAGTCCTCCAGAAAGATGAAAGCAGCCGTCTAGGTATCCCACAATCCAGTCAAGTTGAAACCTAAAGTTGACTATCATAAGACAGATTGCACCTCTTACTATATTCTCATTAAAGGAAAAAAACTCAAGTAAGTGTAATGTCCGCTCTTTATTTATTTATTTAGAGATGGAGTTTTGCTCTTGTCGCCCAGGCTGGAGTGCAATGGCACCATCTTGGCTCACTGCAACCTCTGCCTCCTGGGTTCATGCCATCCTCCTGCCTCAGCCTCCCAAGTAGCTATGATTACAGGCACCTGCCACCATGCCCAGCTCATTTTCTTTTGTATTTTTTGTATTTTTAGTAGAGACAGGATTTCACCATGTTGGCCAGGCTGGTCTCGACCTCAGGACCTCAGGTGATCCGTCTCCCTCAGCCTCCCAAAGTGCTGGGATTACAAGCATGAACCACCACGCCTGGCCATGTCCACTCTTTTTAGAACACTTTGGACATAAGTTTGTCTTGGTAAATGTGTATTCTTTTTCTTAAAGACCCTCAAGTTTTAAAAGTTTCGGTACCACAAGTCATACCTCAGCTTCCAGCTCAGATTTCAACCTCTCATTGCCCACTCTTAAAGAGTTAAATAGTGTTAGCTTGAAGAATCAGAACTGTTCAAATGATTTCAGAGCCTACCTTCAGCCAGGTGGCTGAAAGCTTTTTGGTTATCATCTGGACATATATTGACATTGCAATTGATAGAGGATAAGGAGTGATTAATTATTGCAGACTCATCCTTTTTATATTGTTGTAATAAAAAGATTTAAAGTGCTATACTGTCTAGACTAGGGAGTCTATCTAATCATGTAATGTTCCGAGATCTGCCAATATTTGAGAAGAACACGGAGTCTTCTCAAATATTGGCATATCTCGGAACATTATGTGATTCAAATGTAGGGAATTACTGTCAGGCAGGTTTGGGAGTTGGGGAGGATGAAGAGGTGGTAGAAATTCAATGCAGTATTTATTAACTTCTTATAGAATAAAAATAATTAATTTTGTTTGCTTAATTATCATTTCCCATCAGATGCTCATTAAATTATTTTCTGTTTAAAATCCCAAGTTAAGAGCCCTTACCAGGCATTGCTTATAGCAGAAACACCTACTACAGGGACCAGTGAATACCTGGTTAATACAGTGTTGCTTAAGAAAGGATGAAAGGAGGTAGAGTTTCAGAATTACCATAGTAGTGAAGGTCACACCTCGAAGCCTTTTAAACTTTTGTGAAGAAAATAATTAGGCCGGGCACAGTGGCTCAGACCTGTAATTCCAGCACTTTGGGAGGCAGAGGTGGGTGGATCCCGTCTCTACTAAAAATGCAAAAAAAATTAGCCAGGTGTGGTGGCAGGCTCCTATAATCCCAGCTACTCAAGAGGCTGAGGCAGGAGAATTGCTTGAACCTGGGAGGCGGAGGTGGCAGTGAGCCGAGATCACGCCATTGCACTCCAGCCGGGGCAACAAGAGCAAAACTCCATCTCAAAAAAAAAGAAAAAAAGAATTGGCAAACATTCTACTCTCCACCCTAGGGGAGTTTAAAAATTAATCCTATCTGGGAGTCACTCTAAGAAAAAAAACAGAGTCAATATTAAAGGCTAATGTAATTAATTTCTTATTCAACTAGAACCTTCAGGCTGAAAAAGAAGGAAACTAAATGCTACTCAATATAATTATAGGGCTCAGAGAAAGAGAAGGTAGGGGTGTCTTGATAATTAAGAACATTACTTCCTCAATTTTTTTTCATCTGGTGCCCCCAATTCAGTGGATAGGTATATTTTCTTTGGCCTCCTCAGCATTATAAAAATTGGACGTTTCATATGTAATCTAGATTTCTGAAGAGAAGGAGAAAAATGTAGCAACACTGTCTGCATTCCTGCAAAACAGGATTTGTTGGGAGGTCTGTAACAACAGTGCCCTTTGCAAAGCCATGCAAGCTCATTCTGCTTTGCCCTGATTCCCGTCTCTTCCTATTAATGACACCAAATCCACTTCACTCATTTACATGACCTGCTTGAAGACTGAATGCCTCAATTATGATTGTTAGTTCGGAATGTCCTATTCCCCCCAACGTAATGAATTTTCTTGGTTATATGTTTCACTTAAAAGTTATTTAATTATAGGGATCTGCTCAACTGTATCACATACTGATGTAAATATTGGGAAAAAAAATTCAGCTAGGCCCAGTGGCTCACATCTGTAATACCAGCACTTTGAGATGCCAAGGCAGGTGGATTGCATGAGCTGAGGAGTTCAATACCAGCTTGGCAACATAGTAAGACCTCATCTCTCTAAAATTCAAAAACATTATCTGGGCGTGGGAGCGCATGATTTTAGTCCTGGCTACTCAGAGGTGCTGAGGCAGGAGGATGGCTTGAGCTTGAGCAGTTGAGGCTGCAGTGAGCCCCGATCATGCCACTGCACCCCAGCGTTGGTGACAGAGCAAGACTGTCTCAAAAAAAAAAAAATTCCAAAAGAGCCTCCTTCTCCATTAACAATGGCTCAGAGCTGTTACTCCTCACCTGTTCTGTAAGATGTGGGTGTCCACCTGCTTCACTGAATATCCTGTCAAACCCTGGGGCCCTTTTTCCTTTCAAGCATGGGACTTGGGTGTTTATGTTAAAGAAGGAGGGAGAATGGATTCAGGAAAGGTGGGGTGTTCTGGGTGGGCGGGAATTTAGGCAGATGACTAGAATGCTTGGAGGAGTGCATGTGTGTACCCAAGGGCATGGGAACTGCGTGAACTGCAAAGAAACCCTGGAGGTGACCTCTTTTGCAGGGCCCAATTCTTAGGTGCCTTTTCTTTCATTACCTAAGTACAACCTTTCCCCATCTATGTTATATGTTTCTCCTGAACTTGCCCTAACCTTTTAATAGAGAAATTTGCACTTGGCTAAATATCTAGTGTGGTAGCCTCGAGACTAAAACGATGAGTTAATAAATGCAAAGCAGGCTTTTTTATTCTGTGACTCTCTGGCACCAGTGAAGGGTAGCAGTTCTGGCTACATAACAACCACCTCTAAAACTTAAAGCTGTAAAATAACAACCATACTATTATGCTCGCAACTCTGCTAATTGGGCAGAGTCTCTGCAGGGATGCTCAAATGGCTGAAGGGTAGGGCAGCCAACTATGTGTATGTCTCTCTTATGTGGTCTCAAGGCTATTTCACATGGTCTTCTCATGTAGTCTTTCCAGCAAGGCAGCCTCAGGGAAGTCAGGGTTTTTACATAGCAGCTGAGGACTTCAAGAGCGGGTGCAGTGCTCACTTTGGCAGCACATATACTAAAATTGGAAAGATACTGAGAAGATTAACATGGCCCCTGCGCAAGGATGACATGCAAATTCGTGAAGTGTTCCATATTTTTTATGTTTATTGAGGCACTGTTTACAATAGCAAAGACCTGGAACCAACCCAAATGCCCATCAATGATAGACTGGACAAAGAAAATGTGGCACATATACACCATGGAATACTATGCAGCCATAAAAAACAATGAATTCGTGTCCTCTGTAGGGACATGGATAAATCTGGAAACCATCATTCTCAGCAAACTGACACAAGAACAGAAAATCAAACACCGCATGTTCTCACTCATAGGCGGGTGTTGAACAATGAGAACATGTGGGCATGGGGAGGAGAACATCACACACTGGGGTATGTTCAGGAGGGACAGCGTGGGGTGGGGAGGTTGGGGAGGGAAAGCACTGGGAGAAATGCCTGATGTAGGTGACGGGGGGATGGAGACAGCAAACCACCATGGCTTGTGTGTACCTATGCAACAATCCTGCAAGATCTGCACAGGCACCCCAGAACTTAAAGTACAAAAAAGAAAAAAAAGAGTGCAAAGCTTTTTATGCCCTCACCTTGGAAATGGTAAAATGCCACATTCCATTGCTCAAGTAAGTCTGTTGTATTTAAGATCAGAGGAATTAAACAATGCCTCTCAATGAGAGAAGCAGTAAAAACATTCGTAGACGTACTGGAGCTACCACTATGACCTTCTAAGCTTACTGAGTGCACTATAACATAGGTTTCTGGCAGTTATGTTTTTGGCATTACAGATGGGCAATCCAGGCCAGAGTTGGGAATTAGGGGGGATGATTCACAACACTACAGGAGAACTCTGTCAGGGGACCCACATGACAGAGACAATAAGATCAAACCTTCACATTACTCCTGAGAGGGAAAGAGTGCTACCATTAGAAAGGGAAAAGCAGTCAGGCAGAATCATTTCTGTGAAATTGTTTACTAGAAAGCAATGAATGCACAGAGATAGTGTCAACATCTCACTTATTTTGCTAATACACTGGTTATTTTAAATATATGATAAAATTCTGAACTAAAAAGATTTCAGAGCAGACAAAGCAGTAGCACAAGGTCTAGATGCGAATGTGTATTTACTTATTCATAAGTGGACTGTCCCAGGTCTCATTTACAGAGCTTGTTCACTCTTACTTTACTCACAATTAGAGTAAATAGATAAATACAGTTTTTTGGTACTTTAGTGGATAATAAAGTAGCTTAATAGATTGGTAGAGAGAAATGGGTAATACTGTCAGAGGTAAGTTCACTGACAGCAACAAGAAGTTACTCAGCTGTTAAACCTAAATAGCTTCCAAATCCCAGGATCTTTCCCGTC